GTGAGGTGACACACTGCCAGATGCTAAGCACATGATGGGAACTTGGTACATCTATGCTGAATGAATGACTGGACCATCTAAAGCAAGACAAGCTGTAGGACTCCTGGCCGATCGTGTTGCCTTTCCAAGCCTGTTTGCTTCCCATGAAGGGGGGGTAGTGTAGACATGGCCTGGCACAAACTCGTGGGTTACCTCCCCTGCTGAGCAGTGTGCCCAGCACATCTCCAGCTTGCTCTGTGCCCATGGGTTCAGGACCTAGGCTTTGCTTTCTGTGAAAGTCATAGGCCTTGCCTCGTCCCATGTCAGCTGTTCTTTGTAGATTCTGTGCTGGGTCTTTTTGGGTAAGGAGGCACTGAGACCCTCAGCCCTGCCCTGAGACGCTCACCTCAAAGAGGAACTGTGTGTGTGTGTGTGTGTGTGTGTGAGAGAGAGAGAGAGAGAGAGAGAGAGTTGGGGGTTATGCCTTGGTCAAAGCAAAGTCTGGGCAAAGCAACCAAAGCAGATAGATAGTGAGAGGAAGGCTTCAGGGGGAGGTGGAATTTGAGGGGTTCTCTTCAAGGTGAGAATGGGGTTCAGAGGGTGCATTCCAGCCAAGTTAGTACAACAGCAGTGCCCCAGGGGCCCCATGGGAGGAATGCCTGGGTCTGAGTAGCAAAGGAGGCTCGAATGCCAGGCTGAAGAACTGAATGCTACCCCAAGGGCAGTAGGGAGACATGGCAGCATCTAGACGTGGAGGGGGGCTTGGTCTGGGCCCAAGTGGGAGAGGAGGAGGCTGGAATGGTGGCGTGGGCAGCCCAGAGTGGGGGTCCACCTTGCTTCCTTCCTTTCACACCCACAGAAACAACCCAGGTGGGGCTTCCCCTGGAGTCCCCACATCTTCTAAAGGCACAAGTTTGCAAACCCAGGAGGCTCTTCTGGGCCCCGCCTGACCACTGGAGACTCCTCCTGCAGGCCCTCCCCCCAGCGGCCGCGGTTTCCTCTGTAATAGACACGGGTCACACTTAAGGGGTTCTGTGTTCCCAATGCTGTATGGTTTGTTTGAAGTCACTCAGCCAAAGCTGGGGGGCAGAGCAAGGACTGGACCCCAGTCACTTAACGTGTGTGCCCACCCCAAACACAGACACCCCCAGAGCCCCAGCCCACAGGAGCTTGGCTGGAGGCGTGGCTGGGTCCCCAGAGGACCCCGAGGAAATCCGCAGGAGATGGAGCCTCTGATTCTGACTTGCTTCTTCCTCTTTCTGACTTGCCCATCCACGAAACGGGGATGCTCCCATCTCATAAAGCTGTTTGGAGATGAATGGGGCAGTGGATATACATATTGCTCCAACATGAGAAAGTCCCTCCCTCCAACTCCTATTCACTTCAAAACCCAACACAGATTTTCCATCTTCAGTGCAGCCCCAGCACAGTCTGCGGCTCTTCACTGTCCTTGCTCTCGGCTCTCCGGCCCTTGATTCTGCCCTCTGCCCCTACCCTGACCCTATGAGTCTGGGAGCGTCTGTATCTGCCTCTGTCTTCCCCTCCACCAGACAAGCGGGGTCCTCCCTGGGACGCAACATTACTCAGTATGAGGCACACTGGGAACGTCGTTGAATAAGTGAAAAGAGGAAGGGAGGGGGTAGGGAGGGAAGAGATGCAACACTGGGGAGCCAGAGGTAGAGGAGGGAGAGAGGGCACTCCGCAGAGACCTTGGTGGGGCAGATGGAAAGAGGAAGCTGGAAGGAGGTGGGCAGAACCGGAAGGGTGGGCAGGGGTGACTGGAGAGGTGGGGGTATGGGGAGACCTGCCTTCCCCCCCCACGCCGCCCCCCCCACACACACACACCTTCTCAGGGTTCCGGTGGGTGGGCAGGGCCTGGCCAGTGGCTGGCGGATTGCCTGGGAGTGGGGCTCAGGGAGTGAGGCGCCGGGCCTCAGCTTTCTTGCTGCGTATGCGCCCCTGTGCGCCCAGGGCCGGCAGTGCGGGCCACAGCACATGGATGCCAGCCAGCCTGGTGTGAGTCTCTAGGCCGGTGGGTAAGGCGGGGTACGGGGCTGTGGGGTGTGGATAGCTGGGCCTTCAGCCTCGGCTTTTGAGTGGGGGACTGGAGAGGAGGGGGCTGCCCACCTGGCTTCTGGGAGCAGACCAGGACCTCCTCCTCCTGCCAAGCTGACCCTGGAGGGGGAAGGAGCCTTGCGGTAGGAGGTGGAAGACCCAGGCTCTGCAGCCACAGCTGAAGGCGCAGTTGGTGAGCAGGTACCCAGGCCATGAGAATGGGGTGAGGGTTGAGGGTGCTGTGTTGGGGGCAGGTTCCCTCCTCGTGGCCCCCTCCCTTGTTCCCTCTCTTGGCTCATCCATCTCTAGAAGATTATATTTAAATATCTCTTTTGTGCAAGGCAGGAGCTAGGCTCGCCCCTAAGAGGCAGTTTCCATGGTAACAACAATTGCCAGCTTCCATGTGGTGAATCAGTGTTGCCTTGGCAACCCCATCCTCATCTGCCCAAGGTGCTGGGAGGGGGGAAGAGGTGAGGGCCAGTGGAGGTGAGGTGGGAGGGGTGGGGAAGCAGGAGGCTGATGCTCAGGTGCCCCCTTTCCCCCCGTTTCTTTTCATCACCTCAGTCTGCCCCCAGCCCAGAATCTGGTCCCATCTGGTTGAAATCATCTCCCCTCCTACCTCCAGCTAGCAGGGTGTGGTACCCAGGTGGAGAAGGCTCAGTGTGTGTGTGTGTTGGGGGGGGGTGAGGGAAGGGAGAATTGTTCCCCCTTTCCTCTGAGGGTGTGGCTGGGTGGCAGATCGTTGGGCTACCGGAATGGGGACACTGGATTGGGGAGGTGAAGCCTCTCTGGTTCTGGATCTCCCAAGGCTGAGTTCACAGTGAGGCATCCAGGCCCATATGTGCCTGGGACACACTTTCAGAGAAGGGGGAGGCGTCCAAAGTGGGAGGGGCTCAGATGGGGGGGAGCAGAGAGAAGGAAAGGACTCAGAAAGGGAAGGTAAGCTAGAGTGGGGAGGGGACTCAACAGGGGGAGGGGACCCACGGAAAGGGGTAATCAGTGAGGGAGGGGACTCAGGGAAAGGTGTGATCAGTGAGGGAGGGGACTCAGGGAAAGGGGTGATCAGTGAGGGAGGGGGTTCAGAGCTGGGACAGGGTCTTGAGTTCAGAGGGAAGAAGATATAGGGGTTTTAACATTGGAGAGAGGTCTCTACTCATGGGAGTGGGTGGAAAAATCTCTAAATTTGACTTCTAGGACTCCTAGTGCCTCACCTCACCTACCGCGACCTTGGTGGATATAGTAAATAACTTTTCTGGGCCTTGACTTTGACATCTATATAACGGGGTGAAACTGTGCCTCTCTCTCGAGCTTGCTGGGCAGCTGCACTATAATTAGAACATGACATTTATCGAGCACCTTCTCTGGACGGGTGGGGATCTACTCCAAGATGGTCTGACCTAGGACCAGCACTTGCTGCCCCCACACCTGCTGGGGAGGGACCAGGTGTCTTTCTGTGCTGGTGGATGTTGACCCCTTTCTCCCCATCAGCT